AAGGAAGGGAGGGGAAGGAAAGAAGGAAGGAAGAAACAAGAGGAGGGAGGAAGGAAGGTGGGAAGAAAGGAGGGAAGGGAGGAGAGGAGGAGGAAGTAGAGGAGGAAAGAAGGAAGGTAGGAAGGAGAAACAAGAAAAAGGAATAAAGGAAGGCGAGGAAGGGAGGGAAGGAGGGAAGGAGGAGAGGAAAGAAGAAAGAAGAAGAAAAGGAGTAAGGAAGGAACAAGAGGAAGGAAAGAAGGAAGGGAGAGGAAGGAAGGAGAGGATGAGGAAAGAAGGAAAGAATGGAGAACAGGAAGGGAGGAAGGAGAGGAGGAAGGAAAGAAAGGAGGAAGGAAGAAAGAAAGAAAGAAAGGTGTCTTTGCTGTGTCTTCTCCAGCTTTTCCAGAGCTGCCATTTCTAGCCCGACCTTCTCCAGAACCTCCTTTGAGGGACTTTTCAAAAGTCCCATTTCTAGCTCCCAACCTTTTGACTGTCCTCCAAGCAAAGTTCATCCATCATCTAATTCAAGGCGTCTCCTTCGATCGTTTTTCAGATCATGCCCAAAAAATACAAGACCAGGTGAGCATTAATAATCATGGAGCTTCGTTTTAGAAAGAGGAGGTCATTAACAGGGACAGACGTTCTTTGAACCAAGAGCTGAGACAGCTCAACATCAGGTTCAAAAACTCTCCTTCAAGCCACTTCAAGGATGGGAACGAACGCTGGAACTTGTGTTATTTCCCCCCCAAAACTTTTCCAGCACAATCCCATTTGCTATTTTTTTTTAAAAAACCCAAATCCTAAACCACATAAGATGGTCAAAATTCAGCACTCAGAAGCCAGGAATAAACCCCCATCTGCACAAACCAGCTTAGGAAAAGAAGAAAAACGAAAGATTAAAAAATAAAGATTTTTTGTCCCTGGGCTGCCCATTTCTGCCTCTATCGACCCAAAATGAGCCGACAGGATCTTGAGGTCTAGAAACTTGACCCGGAATGCTGGTCCCTGCTTGGAAAGGACGGGCGTCTAACGTGAAAGGAAAGATGGAACCTCTGCTTCAGCTTAGCCACGATGATAGCTGTCATCCTGGTTAGGCAGAACAGCAGGGCTGTGCTGGCCTCATTAGAGTCGTTCACCGCCTCGACACACACACACACACACAATCCCTCTGCCCACACACACGCACACACAGACACACACACAACCCTCTGCAGAGAGCAAGACACAGGCACACTAACCCACACCCACAGCATGCAAAGTTAATGAATGCTGATTTTAAAGTTTTTTTTTCCTTGTGGGCATCCTGCAACAACCCCATAACTCCCGTCTTACAACTGGGGTGGGAGGGCGGGGAAAGTGAGGTAAATGCAATGTGGGGAAGGGGGGAAGAGTTATAGCTCTCTGGCATTTGGAATCCCCCCCCTCCCCTTCCCCGGCCAGTTGAAGCCCCTCGTTTCTATTGTTCAGGCTCTTTTTCAGCGAAAAAGCCGTCCTCCTGTCTGTTTACAAATTCTAGAGCCAACCCGCTTCGCTTCGCTTGCCCTCTTGTGTGAAAAAAAAATTGAACAACGTACGGTCATGGGGTCTCTCTCCTGGCCGGGATGATGGAGTGCCGAGGATGCCTGCAAAAGCCTCTTTGCCCAGCCCTGGAGAACTTCTGCCTGCCTCCACAGCAGGGATGGTCCCGCTAAGTTGGGCATGGCTTTCTTTGGCGGCTGCCACTTCTTGTTCTCCTTTTTTCTGATCGCTCGTCTCGGGAATCAGCGCCAGTTTAGGATGGAATGAGCCCGGGCTGCTCAGTTCTCTCTTGACTGTATCACCACCAGCACCGCCGTTCTGCTGGTCCCTCTTCTTCTCCTCCTCCGTGGGGAGAAGAGGCTCCTTCAAAATGGGGCAGAGGGGGGCAGCATTGACCTGACTGGGATGGTGGGCAGAGGTCTGCTCTTCGGAGACGGTGGCCGATCTTTTCATTGGTGCGCTTAGTTTGCGAGGCGCGACGCACTGAGAAAAGATGCTTGGTGGGGACTCCCGGTCGGGAACAGTGACCGGCTCGGGGTATTTGTCCACAAGGTTGAGGGCGGGGGGGACAGACAAGTGGGAGCACTCCGACATGGCGCGACGCATCGCCTTCCGCTGGGTGCCCCCCCCGATTGAGAAAGCCGCTGTCAGGGGCCGAGTCCAGCTTCTCTTCCAGCTCAGCCAGAAACCTCTCGTCTTCTGTCTCAGGGAGAGTGCCGACCAAGCTGCTGCCCTTCCCATCATCCTGAGCCAGCTCGACCGTGGTCGTTGGCGGCCCCAGCTTCGGCGCAGAGCCGAAACCACTTAGGAGCGAACCGTCCTTGAGGAGATCCACTGGGCTGTGGGCAAGGGCTCCATTCTTCGGCCCGGTGGCTTCAGACAAGACCGGGTTGAAAGTGGGGGCCCACGCCCGAATCTCTGGTTCCATCGGGCGACTCGGAAGGTCTTTCGGTGTCTCCGGACGGCCTTTGACGTCAACCTCTCCCGACTTTGACCCAGCTGCCTTCTCCTGATCGGTGATACCTCTATTAGGTTCCAGGATTGAAGACTCCCTCAGGCATCCAGCCGGCTCGGTCTGCAAGCCGGCTAAACTGAGGATGCCCAGACTCTCTCCGGAATGGCTCTTCTCGGACCCCGGCATCCACTTCTCAAGGTGACCTGAGGCTGGCTGGCATGGCTTACTCGGTGCCTCGGTTTCCCTTTTGTCCTGCGAGATGGTTTTGAGGTCCTTCTCCAGCTTCCCTTCGAAAAAACACAGCTTGTCCTCATCGGTGAAGCCTGCGCTTTTCCCCAGGCCGTCCTGACGGGGCTCCGCCGGGTGGACGTGAAGCCCGATCTCGCTCAGCTTACCTTCCGTCCGCTGCCACTCAAACGCAGCGGCGCCGAATTCCTTCGGTGTGCCCATGCAGGCGAATGCGTCTGAAAAGCCGTCGGTGTTGGGGGTTTTGCACAGCTGGCTGTATTCGGCAAGGGGCGCAGGGGACTGGTTAGAGAGCGACATCGCTGCCTGCCTGCTCGCCTGCTGCTCCTCGCCCGTCTCCGAGCTGGAACGCCACCCAGCTGGGCTGGCGGGCACCGTGATGCGGTGACGACACGCCAGGCCCCCCCCTGTGGTCGCCTTGCAGCAAGCGATCCTTTATACTATCGCCGCTCTCGTTTAAAACGAGCGTTTGCACAAAACGAGCATTTTGAAAACTCAGGTTGGGTGGGATCTCTCCCTAACTGTACGGGGGAAAACGGTGCGTGGCGAAGGGCTATTATCTTTTAAACCAGGGTTAAGGAAGGGAGGATGACAGCTTGGTTTAACGCCCCAGGTACGCGACACGAGGACTTGAAATCTGTTTTTTCTTTTTTTCTTTCAGCCCAAGGACCTCACATCACCGTTTTTCTCTCTTTTGTGTAACCGCGGACAAAAGACACCATTCAGAAAAAAACCGTTCAAAGGAAACGGGTGCCCGAGCGCACCCCGTTAAATGAAGATTTAAACGCGTGACGTTAACAGAACAGCAGCATTGAAAGGGGGTTCTGTTTTGCTGGGACATCTGTGAGAGTGGCAGGACGTACGGCACAAACAAATAACCCACAACAACAACTGGGGCACCAGCTTTTTGCAAAGGGGGAAAAGCTCCGGAGGGAGGGGAAGGATGGAGTTTGTGACAGATGGTACCGCCTGTGTGTCTTTCCGCTACAACGGCAGCACATATGGGGAAGAGGCTCCTACCCAGACCCCCACGAGCAGCTGCAGAGATGGGGAGGGGATACAGGCAGTCCTCAACTTACAGCCGTTCGTTTAGCGACCATTCTGAGTCAAAACAGCCCTAGAAACAGCGACTTAGGACCAGTCCTCGCACTTACGACCGTCATAACACAATCAAAATTCTAGCACTTGGCAACGGGCATTCGTTTGCAAGAGTTGCGGCGTCCTTGGGTCATGTGACTCTCAGTTGTGACCTTCTCAAAGTCAATAAGGGAATCCAGACTCACTTAATGACCGTACGATTCGCTTAACGACTGCAGGAATCTAGATTTGCTTAACAAGGATGGCAAGGGAAGGCCATAACATCGGGCACGACTAAGGACCTCCATGCTTAGAAAGGGAAATCCTTGTCTCCGTTGTGGTCATAAGTCCAGTAGGTTTCCACTCGGGGGTCAAGTGGTAGGTTGCTAACGATTCACCCTGGTTTAGGCAAACCAGTAGCAGTGGTGGCTGGAGGCTCTGTCCACCCACTCGGATGTCATCAAATATGACCTGTGCTTGCGCAGAAGCGTGTGGGCGAACCAGTAGTAAATGAAACCCATCACTGGTCAAGACACAGCCAGTCCTCGATTTACAACCATTCGTTTAGTGACTATTCAAAGTTACGATGACACTGAAAAAATGCACTTGTAACGGTTTTTCACACTTATGACCATTGCACCATCACATGATCAAAATTCAGACACTTGGCCACTGATTCATACTTATGACGGTTGCGGTATCCCGGGGATCAAATAATCCCACTGTCCAATTTTCAGACAGGCAAAGTCAACGGGGGAGCCAGATTCACTTAACAACCGTATTAACTCCCTTAACAACTGCAGCAATTCACTTAACAACCAAGGGGCAATGAAGGTCATAAAATCAGGTGTGACTCACTCAACAACCAGCTTGCTTAACAACAGCAATTCTGCAATGTCAGCTGGGGAAGCCGGATTCGCTTAACGGCCGTTCTGATTCGTTGAACCACCGTAGGGGTTCACTTAACAACGGTGGGGGAAAAGGTCGTAAATTGGGGTGTGACTCACTTAACAACTGACTTGCTTAGCAACAGAAACTCTTCAAGATCAATGGGCGGAGACCGATTTGCTAAACGGCCACATGTTTTGCTATGCAACAAAAGCAGTTCACTTAACAACCATGGGAGGGGAAAAGGTCATAAAATTGGCCGCAACTCACTTAACAACTGCCTTGCTGAGCAACAGAAGAAGGGGTCATAAGTTGAGGACTGCCTGTAATGATATTAGGGGTGCCTTTGGAGAACCTAAACTCTACCTGGCCAAAAAAAGGCAAATCTCTTCAACTGGAAGGGACAGGATGGCCCACAATTCCCCACCCGGTGGTCCTTGATTTATGACCATTCATTCAGGGACTGTCCGAAGTTTCGACGGCCCTGAAAAAAAAGAGACTTATAGGCGATCCTCACACTTAGGACCGTCGCAAAAATCCCTATTTGCATGATCAAGCGGCACATATTCGCCAAGGCTGTCACGCGATCACCCTCCGCGAGCTTCCCGTCGCCTACACCAGTAGTCCTCAACTTGCCACCGTTCGTTTAGCGACGGCTCCAAGTTGCAACTGCCACAAAACGAAGAGATTTGATAACCGCTCCTCGCACTTACAACCGTCAAGGCATCGCCCCCGGGGTCAGGAGATCAAAATCCGGCTGCTTGGTAACCGGTTCCTACTTAGCGTTCCCGGGAGTCACGTAACTGCCATTAGTGAACAGACCAGCCATAAATAAATCGGAGAAGCCGGCTTCGCTGAATGACCGTCTGGCTCCCTCCACGACCCTCAGGGAGTTGCTTAACAACCATGGAAAAAAAAAAAAAAAATTGGTCGCGACTCACTTAACAACCACCTTGCTTAGTGATCATAATGTGGTTGTAAGTTGAGGACCATCTGCATTTGGCATTTTTAGGTCATACACCACCTGTGTATTCCCACCCCCCCAACCCCTTTATAATAATCTCCCCCCCTCCTTTATCACAGGAATCTTCCCTTTGACTTCCAGCCAGGCGCCACTAGGTGCCACGTGCCTGGATTTAATTGCCTTTGAAGCCGGAAAGCACAGCTCAACAGTGCTGTTTAAATACGGGTTGGGTGGGTGGGAGAAGGGAGGGGGAGTGTGACAACACACACACACACACAATGCCTGCCGCACTCACAACGCCTGGCAGTTTGTAAGGAGCTATTTTTATCCCGTCACAGCACCAATGTGGAAAAGCAGCCAGCCGCGGGAGAGATAGCGCGGGCACCAAGAGCTGGGTGCAGAGGGAGAGAGAGAGAGAGAGAGAGAGCAAACAGCTTCGGAAGTATAAAGTTGCGTAGTCCTTTATACACAATGCTCACACACACACACACACACACACCGGCATTCCCACCCACCCATCCCCACTCGAGAGAACTCTCCCTTGGGATTCCAGGTGCAGACTAGGCGCTGAACTAGCTTCCCAATTGAGTGGATTGCGATGTTTGCCACAGTAGAGTCTGGTTATTCCTCGACTTACGGTCACAACCGAGCCCCACCTTCTTGTTGCTAAGTTAGACGGTTGTTACGTGAGCTTTGTCCCACTTTACGACCTTGCTCGCTGCCGTTGTTAAGTGAATCTCGACAGTTGTTCAGCTAGCTGCATGACGTGTAAGCGAAGCTGGCTTTCCCCGTTATCCAAAGGTCGCAAAATGGGATCACGGGACCCCGGGGATGCCGCCACCGTCATAAATACGAGCTGAGGGCCAAGCGTCTGAATTTTGATTGTGGGACTCTTGATGGTCATATAAGTGTGAGGACCAGTCCTACGTCCCTTGGCTCAGGGCCATCGTCATTTGAAGCAGTCATCAAAGGAACGGTCATAAGTTGAGGACTATCTGGGTATGCAATGGGGTAGTCATGTGACCGCCCTGGCGAATACATGCCTGTTTTGATCATGTAACTTGGGATTTGTGTGATGGTTGTAAGTGCGAGGACAGGCTGTAAATCTGGGTTTCTTTCCCAGGGCCATTGAAACTTTGGACAGTCCCTAAATCAACCGTCGTAAATGTTGCAAAGGTTGCAAGTATGAAAAACAGTCGTAGGTAACCTTTTCCAATTTTGGCATACGGCCAAACGGTCACTAAACGAAATTTGTTAAGTCGAGGACTACTTGCACACAGAGGGCAAGAGGAAGGTCAAGATAAAGCAAGTCAAAAGTGGGCAGAGGAGTGGAATACCCATAAGGGCCCGGATACTGGATAACCATATCTCTGAAACGATGTAGGGTTTCCTGCTTAAACAGGGGGTTGGACTAGAAGACCTCTAAGGTCCCTTCCAACTCTGTTATTCTATTCTATTCTATTCTATTCTATTCTATTCTATTCTATTCTATTCTATTCTATTCTATTCTATTGTTTTTCTATTCTATTCTATTCTCTATTCTCTATTCCCTATTCTATTCGATTCTTTATTCTTCATTCCTCATTCTTTATTCTTTTTCTATTCTATATTCTATTCTATTCTATTCTATTCTATTCTATTCTATTCTATTCTATTCTATTCTATTCTATTGATTTTATTTATCCTGATTTGTAATTAGTTATAAATAAAGTGGCGAACATGCCTCTTTCTCCTTCCATCCTTCTCTTTTTCCCTATAACGACAACCCTGTGAGGTGGGATGGGCTGAGAGAGCGAGCGACTGACCCAAAGTCACTAAGGTGGCTTTCATGGCTTAGGCAGAACTAGAACTCACCGTCTCCCAGTAATCGGCCCAAAGTCACCCGGTCAACTTTCACCCTTAAGGCAAAACTAGAACTCACCATCTCCCGGTTTCCAGCCTGATGCCTGAACAACTAGACCAAAAATGGAAGTTCTGGAGAACTTCTAAGGCCTTCAGAGTTTGTATGGGTCTTATGGCTGAGGATAATGGGCTTTGTGGGAGACAGAACGATGGAGGGAGATGGACCCGACGGACCTCAGACCCATCTCGGACCGACTGCTGCTTCAACACACCTCCGTTTCTGTTGTGAGTTGTTGCTTCCCACCCACAAAAATTTCTATTTTTGTTCCGCTCTTCAAGCTAATACGGATTCTGTGCAACACACACACAGACACAGCAGCAGCCAAGGAATGGTTCCCAGCAAGGTCCTCCGTGCACCCGTTTCCAAGACAACCATACCTTGGAGGATCTCTTGCAGGTCCACCAAAATCCACATGCGATGAGGTGGCACCATGTGAGTCAACCGGAAGCACGCTAACGGATAAACTTTAGGGAGGGGGAGTTTGCATTGTGGGTCTCTGGCTTCACAACCACACTCAATCTTGGACAATCCTCACCGGGTGTGTGTGTGTGTGTGTGTGTGTGTTCAACCGTACCATCTGGGGGAAGGAGATGGTTTCATGTTTGAGGCTGGAGAAGGCCTCTCTTAGCGCTTTAATCGTCTTCCCAGGAAAAGGCCCTATTGGCAAAAGAGCCTTACCTTGGCAGTCTGAAGGTGAATGGACTTCAACTCCCAGAATTCCCCAGAATTCATCCACACCATCTTCAGTGGTCCATACGTGACCCATGCAACTTCAAGCTACTGAGATATGGCTGCCCACCTCCCAGCCTTGAACCCTACAGGAGTGTTCCTCAGCCTTGGCAGCTTTGAGATGGGTGGACTTCGACTCCCAGAACCCCCCGGTCGGCGTGGTTTTAAGTTGCATGGATTTCAAGTCCCAGAATCCCCCCATCGGCATGAATTAAGATGGGTGGACTTCAACTCCCAGAATCCCCCAATCGGCATGGAATTAAGATGGGTGGACTTCAACTCCCAGAATCCCCCAATCGGCATGAATTAAGATGGGTGGACTTCAACTCCCAGAATCCCCCAATCGGCATGAATTAAGATGGGTGGACTTCAACTCCCAGAATCCCCCAGGCAGCATGTTCAGAAAAGCACTGATCTGTATCTATCTCCACATCCATCCATGCATTGTTTCTCAACCTTCCCAACTTGAAGATACGTGAACTTCAACTCCCAGAATCCCCCAGGCAGCATGTTCAGAAAAGCACTGATCTGTATCTATCTCCACATCCATCCATGCATTGTTTCCAACCTTCCCAACTTGAAGATACGTGAACTTCAACTCCCAGAATCCCACAGTCAGTAAGTTTTAAGAGGGATGGACTTCAACTCCCAGAATCCCCTAGTCAGGACTGCCTGTACAACAGCATGCAAAGAAACAGAACAGTGTGTTTTTGACACTTTTGAGTTAAATGTTGTTGCTTTTACTTTTGACACCTTCCTTCCCCGTGCACACAAAACTCACACAACTCCAAGGAGCAATTTCATGCAGAAAACACAACTTGCCCCCCACCCCACCCCAAGGCGACAACAACTTCTGGGGTTGTCACAAAGATGTGACAGGATTCCCGTAAGTTTCTTCCATGCAAGCTAATGTTAAAGAGGTGTTGTTGAATGGTCTACACAAAAACACACACACAAAGGTAAGCCTTGCTTAGTGACACAAGCTCAGACCTAAGTTTTGCTGGAAAATGGCACCTCAGCCGTACCATGTTCAACGTGAATTGGAGTCTCCTGGGGTTGATAAAGGAGGGGAGGAGGTCCAAACCAGGCCAGGTGGCCACTTTCTAATATCTCCAGATGAACGGAGAAAGGCCACCACGAAGGAGAAACTCATAGACTGGTGAGATTATGGACCTCTGGCTCCAAACATGGTTGGATTCAAGAGGAAACCACAACCCACTTCAACCCACTTGGACCATGGAATTGTCTCCTACTCTGATTCACTACAGTGACTCAAGGATCTCCTGCCATGGATGGTACGAGATGTTCCTCAGAATCCATTTGGGGTTTTCTCTTGGAAACATCTACCCTAAAGGCCAGGATGAAGGCAGATTCGAAGTTACGTTGCTAACAGTCAACAGTGGAACCAAGTTATTCAAGACCGTTTGACCTCCTAGACTCCAACTGAGCAGGAAGGTGGCCTACAGACTCAGCAGACCCTTCCAACTCCACGGGTTCCTTCCCTCGAGGAGCGTTCAAGATTAGTGACCACAAAATACACACACAAGGCTCAGAAGCACACACAGGCAGAAGCTTTAGGGTCTCGGCTGCCAAGGTCAGGTCCAGAATGGGGCCCGTTAGCACGGTGACGCAAAGCAAGCTGGGCTCTCAAAGACAGCCTGGAATGCGGTCATGCCAATGAGGTTAGGTGCTCGTGCCAATGCAACCAACATGGAGTGAGTTCTCACACGCCAAGCTGGATGGAGGATGCACGAAGAGGCTGGCAGGCCATAACCACAAGCACTCACACACACCTTTGTCTCGCCTGTGGAGAAGTGGGCCATCGGGTTTGAGGGGTCTTCTCCTGCCTTGGTCTGGAGCTCCATCCTTCGAGGAAAGGAGAGACGGAACAGGGGGAAGTCCTCTTGACTTGGTGGGTCTCATGTAGCCTTTCATCGGTGGAGGAGCTTTGGCCCGGCCTGCTTTCTTGGTCTCGCCTGGTGGCCCACGGTCATCATGATCAGTGACCACCGGAGAAGTTGATGTTTGTGGTTCTCCAGCTTCCGATCTCAAGTTTGGCGCATCTTGCAGTTCTCCAAGTTGTCCTTTCTCCTCCTCGCTGGTTGGTTGGAGGAGAGGTTCTATCTTGGCCAGGTTCTTGTCGTCTGGCGCCAGATGATTGGAAGAGAGACCACTTCCTCCCACTTCCTCCAGAAGGATGTCTTCCAGGACCTTATCTGTCCTTGTCTTGCTTCCTAAACTGTCTAGAGACTCAGAAGGCCTCATTTCATCTTCTCGTCTATCTTCTGCTAACACTCCTGGCTCTGAGGTTCCACCACCGAGGAGGGTAGTCGTTATAGTTTGAAGAGTTGACACTTCCTTCTTGGATCCCTTAAGAGTTTGGGTTTCCATAGGGAGGTCACTACTTTCAGCCACCAGCCCAGGAGCCATCTTTAGCTTCTCCACCACTATTTCTGGTGAACCAAGTCCTTGTCTTTTGTCTCCAAGGTCCGTTCCTCCAGTTTCCTTTTCCATTTTGGAGAGACGGTCTGCTGGGGCCCGCTTGTTCTTCTTCTTCTTCTTCTCCCTGATGTCATCACCGGCTTTCATGACAAGGGAAGCTTCCGCCTCTCGACCTTCAAGCTTGGCCAAGTTCTCCTGCAGTTCCTCCAGAATCTTCTGGTCCCCCGGTTTAGTGTCTTGCAGGAATTTGGGGAAAAAAAACTGCTCTTGGCTTGGCTCGTCGGCCAACTTGGTGAAGTGTTCTAAAAACGGGCAGGTAGGACCTCGAGTTTTGGAGACGGCTTCATCAAGAGGTCCAGCTGGCTCAAAGACGTTTGTGAGGTCCTCTTCCCAATGCAGTTGACGTCCAGAAGGGAAGCTCTTGATGTTCCTGTTTTCATCTACAATCTCCACTTCTCCTACTGTGAAGCTCAATCCACCAACCTTACAAGGTTCTTCACGGTTGACGTCTTCCTTAGTTGATTGGGCAACCATAGGTTCTTGAGGGACAATCAAGGTCTTCTTACTTTTCTTCTCGCTACTCTTCTTTTCGGGTTTTGCAAGTGGGGTTTGAAGATCTGGAAGATCAGGGACCCCGTCTTTTTTCTCACTGGAAGCTGTTGATGCTTTGATCTTCATCTTTCTCTCATCTTCTACAACTGTCCCGGTGCCCAACTTGTCCAGCAAATGGATGGATTGTTCCAAAGTAGGCATTTCCTCAATGAAGAGCTTAGCAGGAACCTGGCCTATAGATTCTGATGTCTCCTCCTTGCTGCCATCAGAGGTGGGGACCTCCTCAATCTTAACTCCTTGATGGTGTTCACCAGAAGCTTCTGCCTTCATCTCCAAGTCCTTAGGAACTTGGAGACTTTGCCAGTCAGTCTCGTGTTTCTTAACTTCTTCTGGGACTTGAGGGAGGACAACATCTGGCTTGGATGGATCTTCTCCAGCTTCATCTTGACTAGCTTCCTGCCTCTTAGATGGTGTTTCTTTGGTTTTAGGGATCTCTGCTGTCTTAGCAGTGTTACCTTTCTCCTCCAAAGTAGACAGTTGTCCAAAGCCAACCTTCTTCTCCTCCTTTCCTCCTGTCGTTTCCAACGGTTTTTCAGCAGGGACTTGCACTTGGGCGGCACCTGGAACTTCTAGCCCTTGATTCTTCTTCTCAGGAGACCCTTCGTTAACTAAATCGTTTTTCTTTGAAGGCACAATCCCATCCAATGTCTTCTCCAGTGGTGGTTCTCTTGAGGGACCTTTGTGAGCTGTCCTGCTTTTCCCATTGCTGCTTCTCTTCTTGGGTTTGTTGGTGGCCCACATGAAGGTGGGATCTCCTCCAGGGGAGCTCGCCAAAGTGGGTCCCTTGTTTTGATTTGGGCCGCCCATTTCCTGGCCTTGGACTGTTGACTCCAGGAGAACCTGGCCTTCCGTCTGCTTTCCAGGGGCCTCCAAGATGAAGGGATATGCTGATGGAGGAAGGTCAACTCTTTGACCAGGTCTTGCTGGAGAACTTCTGATGTTTTCACTCAAGGTGACGGAAGAAGGACTTGGTTGCTTCACAGTGCTACTGTCTGTAGCACTGTCCAACTGCTGGCTGGTAGCTAAAATGGTAATCCCTTCTTTCGATTCATCTGCTCTCTGTTGGGTTTGGTCAAACATCTCATGATCTTCCACAGTAGAGAAAAATGGTTGTCTGAAAGAGCTCCTCTCCTCCGCTCTTCTGTTCTTCCCCATGCTAGATCTCTTCTTCGGTTTCTCTCTCACTCCTGGAGAAGTGGAAAAATTCTCTTCTGGGTTCCTGGTTGTCCAACCAATTTCACCCAGGCCCTCAACGTCTACCACCATTGAATCTTTGCTCAAGCCAATGTGTTCCTCTGGCTCTGGTACATGCTTTGCTTTCTTGCTTTTTCCATCACTACCTCTCTTCTTGGGTTGATCATGTCTCAACTTGAGACTGGTCGGATGTTCTGGAGGGTGGCCACCAAGGAAGTCTTCTGTTGGGTTGATGAAAAACACTGGGCCACCACCAAAAGTCTCAGGAACAAACAAGGGTTGGGCTGGATCTGACTTGGTTTCCACCACGAATGGAGTTTTGTCAGAATTAAAATCAGATTTTTTGCTCCGTGGTCTTTCTTTGGGAGTCTCCAATACATCCATGCTTTCTCCTCTGTCTTGATGAAGAGAAGAAGTCCCTTCTTGGGTTGGCTCGGCCAGTTTTGGTTCAGCTGGAAGAGTCACATCTTCCTTGACCTCCCTGACCTTCTTTAAGACCTTCTCAAGTTTCTTGGGTTCCTCTACCAACTCTTCTTTCCTTTCAAGACTTGGAAACTCTGGAACAACTTTCTCACGGGCAACCACGGGGTCTAGAGCCTGGACCTCAACCTTCTGCCCCACAACAGAGTGGGTCTCCAAAGTTGAGGCGTCAACATTTGAGTTCTTCGAAGTCAGAGGCCCCAACTGTACCCTTTTCTCAAAGGGACTTACTTCTTCAGGACCAGGAGGAGAAGTTGGACTTGCCTTCTTCTTCTGTTCAACATGGTGCTTCGGAAGCTCCTCAGAAAGTTCTTTCTTTGGACTTTTGGGCTGCCACGCAGAGCTGTCATCCCCGGCCTTTTTGGCTCGGCTCAATTCTCCTGGTTTGGGGTCCAATGAAAGTTTGGAAGGTTCTTCAATCTTCAGAGGAGGAAGGTATGGAAGCTGTTGTCCTTCCAGTTGCTGTCCTTCTTTCCCGAGCTTCTCCTTTCCAAGAACTTCTGCGGAGGCCCACAAGACCTCTTGAGGACTTTCCTGGAGAACTTTTGGAGGTTCGCCAGCAGCCGGAGGGCTTCTTACCTTCTTCAAGTTGTCCTCCCACGTTTCCGCTCCCCGTGGCTGCTGCCCTTTCTTCGGCTTTGCTTTCTTCTTCTTCTTCTTCAAGGCGGCCGACGCCTCGAGGTCCCATCCCTCTTGCAACAGCTCCCTTGAACCTTCTGAACCTCCCTTCCTCGGAGATCTCTTGCTACGGGGAGAAGTTCCACCGGTGGGACCAAAATCGGCCACGAAAAAGGAGTCTCCACCTCTGGGGCTGTGACTCTTCAGGGTTGGGGAACCTGCAAGCTGATCTTCTGGAGCATCTGCCAGAGTCATCTGGACAGGTTTCGCTCTGCCAAACCTGCGGTGGTCACTGGGTTTGTGAGCGTGTCTTATTTGGGCGGGAGGTCCACCTGGAATACAGGAAGGTCACTGAAGGACAGAACCCACCACGAAGAAAGAATCATGTTCCAAATGTTTACACTGCAGGCAACGTCTACTTAGACTGGATCATTTTGAGGAGGGGAGGGGTTTAAGCTTCGCTGATCCCTGCTTAGATGACACATTCTGGAGAGCTCTCATATCTACCTCAATCATCATCATCTTCATTTAACTACCCCGTAATCCCTTGCGGGAGTGGAGTCTGGGCAACTGAATGGAGCTAGCAGAGAGTTCGAATGGCCGGATGCCCTTCTTAGTCGCCAATGAGGAGTTTTGTTCAGCAGATATATTCTCAGTGTGCCAAGAGAGAGAGAGAAATATCTGCCTCTACCTAGGATCGAACTCACAGCCTCCTGATTGTGAGGCGAGAGCGCCATCTCTAGGCCACCACAGCACTCCATCACTTCTACCTCAATGAATAATATAATATAACCTTTAGGTTGATGTTATATGGAATAAAACTGGGATTGAATCTGGATGTTCAGCTTCACGTAACATGAAGCCCCTTCCCAGAAGGTAATAAGGAAAACTGGTCATCGCTTATATGTCTTGGATAGAAGGAAGTGAATTACCAATAATCTTCTCCGTTGCCCACACCACTCTCTCTACAGCCTTCCTGTTCGAAGCTGTAATGCTTCCCAACCACTCATCATCTCCTTTTAATGACTCCATAATCCCTTGCGGGATGGAGTCTGGGCAATTGAAACGGAGCTGAGTGTTTACTGGCCGGATGCCCTTCCTGTCACCAATGCAGAGTTATATTCAGCAGATATTCTCAACCTGCCCAGAGAGAGAAATATCTGCCTCTACCTAGGATTGAACTCACAGCCTTCTGATTGTGAGGCGAGAGCTCTGCCTCTAGACCACCACACCACTCAATGCTTCCTAAACACTGTCCTCACCACTCTCTCTACAGCAGGGGTGTCAAACTCAAGGCCCACGGGCCAGAACTGGCCTGCAATGTGTGGTCAGATCAGGGGCTGTCCTGGTCTACCCAATGCAAAAAGGAAACATGCCAGCAGTTTGGGAAGTGAGGTCAAGCTGGCCACACCCACCCAGTCGGCCATGCCCGCCCAGCCCGATGTCAACCACTGCCCTGATGCAGCCCTCAATGAAATTGAGTTTGACACCACTGCTCTACAGCCTTCCTCTCTGAAGCTGTAATGCTTCCAAACCACTGTCCTCACCACTCTCTGCACAGCTTTCCCATCCGATGCTGTGATGCTTCCAAACCAGACAGTAATGCAATAGGACGTTCTCTATTGTCCCTCTATAGCAGGCGTGTTAAACACAAAATGTGGTCAGATCCGGCCCGCGGGGCTGTCCTGGAAAATGTAAGGGGCTGTCCTGCGTTGCTTCAGCCCAGTCTACCCAATGTGAAGAGGAAACATGCCAGCAGTTTGGGGAGTGGCATCAAGCTGGCCACACCCACCCAGTCAGCCATGCTCAGCCTGCTCCCCAACCACACCCCTAATGTGGCCCTCAATGAAATTGAGTTTGACACCCCTGCTCTACAGAAAGTGGTAAGGAGAGTGATAAACAGATCGAACAGAATAAACAGGTATTCTTAACCCAACTTTTTAGCTTTCAATGGCTGCTTGTCCACATCTCCTATCATCTTGGGGATGATGGACATTGTAATCCAACGGTGGTAGGTTTGAGGAAGGGCTGAATGTCTTCACTATGCTAAAAGGGTTTTCCAGATCTAGGGTGTCCCTTTAACCAGGATCTAGACCTTGAAAGCTTCCACTTCAGAAGATCAGCATACTGGCAAGCTAAGACGTCTGAGACACAGCTAGAAATGAGATAGATAGACAGGAGTAGACTGGACAATCATTTGTCCATGATGGTATAAGGTCTTCTGCCTTAGACTTGACCTCCGAAGTTCCTTCCAGCCCTATGATTCTATGACTCTTCCTGCAAGAGTGGAAGGCTCAATTTAAGGGAAGAAATCTTTTTTCTGGACTTCCACACAACCTATTACTCAACCACAGAAGGTCATCAAAGTGTCTCTGAACATCTCAATCTCTCCCAGAGTTCAGAAGATGTATTTAAGGGGAGCAATGGACAACATATGGAACGTCCTTTTTCACGCAAGGGCAGGCCAAGGTCGTTAACGGACCCGCCCAAAAGTGTTGATCTTAAGTGTCCGGTTTCAGAAAGTAGACAAATGGTTCTCAGGAACCCACAGAAATAGGTAGATCAAAACAAGGAACTGCGTGGGACACAGGTATCAGGGCAACTAAGGTAGGACGTCCAGTTTTGGTGGACAACATTAGCAGGGGCAGGGAGAAAGCAGTGAAGGAAGAAGATGTTGTAAGATCTATCTTTCAGAGCAGAAGACCTGAGGTTCCTCAACAACCAAGAGGAAAGCAAGTTGCAAGAGAGAAAAATTGCAGGATGGAGAAGGAAGAGAAGGTCTCCAGAGAAGGTTCAGCTTCTACTTCTCCATAGATACTCACCTCCTTGTTCTGGAGGCAGCTTTCCTGCAGGTGGCTCCACTGGGTGGTCAGGTATTTCCTTGTCTTTGACCAACATGGAGTCATCAACAAAGGACCGTGGAGAGACCACGTGGGGTTCTTCTCCAAGGACAGATCCCATCAAGTCTGCTGAAGACAAAAACCAGGATCATCACCACAAAACGAAGAACTTTCTCCAATGACCAGAAGCATCGTGGTCCCTTGGCCAAACTCAGACTAGTCTTGCCCAAAGCGATGTTCTCCAAAGGTGCTGGAAGAACCATCTCCAGAACTTCAGGGCTTCAAAGAAACCTTTCCAAGAATTTCTTTTTTTTTTTTAAGGTTTTTTCCCCCAATTTTTAAAATACATACATTCCATCTTTCCTTAAGAAGTGTGTTGTCTGGGTACAACTATCTCTATGCAATATCCTTCAACATTTACATTCGCATTAATATTACTTCTCTAAACTTAAAATTACAATACATTAAACAGTTAAACATTGTAAAACTCTTCATTTTCTTCTTAGTATCTTCTAATAATAGTACAATAACATCATTAAACATAGTTATTCTCATCATACGTATACTAACAATTGTCATCTTATTTATATCTCTATCTTAATATATTTTCTAATTTTCTTTAATTTTCTTGATTTCCAAATTTCTTTTTTATTCTCTAAGCATTGATAAAATACTTCCCATATCATATAATATTCGGTTTGTTCACTCTCCTTAATTGCTAGTGTTAATCTGTTCATTTCTGCACATTATAATATTTTCCTAATTACCTTCTCATCAATGGGAATCTCTTCACTTTTCCAATGTTGTGCAAATACAATTCTAGCTGTGGTTAATACATGAATAATTAAATATACATTCTCTTTATTATAAATTTCAGGTAAGAACCCCAGCAGAAATATTTCTGGTTTCAACTCAATACAGTATGTTGTTTTGTCATCTTTTCCAACCATGTCTTTATTTTTGTCCAATGCTTCTTTGCTTCTTCACATGTCCACCACATATGATAGTAAGATCCAGGTAGCTGGTGGCACTTCCAACATTTAGCTGAGTTATCTTTAAACATCTTTGCCAACCTCGCCGGTGGAAGATGCCATCTATAAAACATCTTATACAAATTCTCCTTATATGCAGTTGACATCGTTAATTTATAATTCTTGTCCCACAATTTCTACCATTTATCTAATTCTATCATATAACTAAGATCTACCTTCCAAAGCAGAAGACCTGAAGTTCCTCAGCAACCAAGAGAAAAGCAAGTTGCAAAGGAGAAAAATTGCAGGATGGAGAAGGAAGAGAAGGTCTTCAGAGAAGGTTCAGCTTCTAATTCTCCATAGATACTCACCTCCTTGTTCTGGAGGCAGCTTTCCTGCAGGTGGCTCCACTGGGTGGGCAGGTATTTCCTTGTCCTTGACCAATGTGGACTCATCAACAAAGGATCTTAGAGAGTCCACGTGGGGCTCCTCTCCAAGGACAGATCCCATCAAGTTTGCTGTGAAGACAAAAACCAGGGTCATCACCACAAACCGAAGAACTTTCTCCAATGACCAGAAGCATCGTGGTCCCGTGGCCAAACTCAGGCTGGTCTTGCCCAAAGAGATGTTCTCCAAAGGTGTTGGAAGAACCATCTCCAGAACTTCAGGGCTTCAAAGCTGCAATCTATAAAACATCTTATACAAATTCTCCTCATATGCAGTTGACATCGTTAATTTATAATTCTTGTCCCACAATTTCTGCCATTTATCTAATTCTATCATATAACTAAGATCTACCTTCCAAAGCAGAAGACCTGAAGTTCCTCAGCAACCAAGAGAAAAGCAAGTTGCAAGGGAGAAAAATTGCAGGATGGAGAAGGAAGAGAAGGTCTCCAGAGAAGGTTCAGCTTCTAATTCTCCATAAATACTCACCTCCTTGTTCTGGAGGCAGCTTTCCTGCAGGTGGCTCCATTGGGTGGGCAGGTATTTCCTTGTCCTTGACCAACGTGGACTCATCAACAAAGGACCGTGGAGAGACCACGTGGGGTTCTTCTCCAAGGACAGATCCCATCAAGTCTGCTGAAGACAAAAACCAGGATCATCACCACAAAACGAAGAACTTTCTCCAATGACCAGAAGCATCGTGGTCCTGTGGCCAATCTCAGGCTGGTCTTGCCCAAAGAGATGTTCTCCAAAGGTGCTGGAAGAACCATCTCCAGAACTTATAGGCTTCAAAGGATCCTTTCCAATAATTTATGTGGAGGGCCTTCCAAGACCTCTTTACCAGTCCCAACACAACTGGAGAACATCAAGGAACACCAGAGGTTCGATGATCCTTGACATTTATCGTAGATCTGTCTACCAACCACACCGTTACGTCCAACTCAAGAAGTTCTTGTGCTGAACAGCAGGGCGTTGGGACACAACTCAGAAAGCCAAGAGAATACTCTTTACGTTCTAAGTGCTCTTCTGATCAGTCTCTGAAGTATCTCGTTGAAGTTCTCCAGCCCCCAACTCAAAATCTATCAAGAGCACCCCCGAAAGAAAAGGTTCAGACTTAGAGAAGAGAGGAAGAAAAGAGGTTGACTTAGAATGATAAGAAGATGACAGCCCATCACGAAGCTTTGATTTGTTTTTACCTGCAAGATGTGGAAGATGCTCTCTAGATTCGGTTGGCGTTGGTTGAAACAGATCTTCTGTGTTGAAGTCGGGACATGGGCTCTTTTCTTCTTGAGCAGGAAAGGGAAGTGATGGCTGGACCTCCTCTGTTTTTTGGGCTGGAAGGCTTACTGCCATTGGCTGTTGGCCAAGAAAACCGTCTTTCTCCTTTGGAGAGTGAAGGAATAGGCTCCCTTCTTCTGGTTTTTCCAGCGTGGGACAACTGTCAGCGGTGAGGACAATGATATCTTCATCTTCTGATTTTAGTTCTTTCGACACCGGGGTCTCCAGGAAGCCTGTTTTGGAGAAAGGAGGAAAGAAAGAGTTGTCTTTTCTACTCAGAAGCTACCCAGGTGTTCTTGAGTGCTCCACAGTTCTCCACTTTCCAAACCATCCATGGTCAGTGATGTGCCACCACCATGAAGTCAATCCGTCCCGTCCATTGGAGGTCCTTCAGAAATCCGGAACAAGGAATGGGTGACTGCCGTCCAGGTTCAAATCAGAAAAGGTGCATCATCGGAGAGATAACAGAATCCCAGAGTTGGATGGGACCTTAGAGGTCTTCAAGATGAACCACCACCACCCCAAGCAGGAGACCCTGGTGTCATTTTGGACAACCGGCTGACCAGATGTTGAGCAGGCTTGCTCCATCTACGAGCCAGCATATCCTTACAGAAGGGTCTTTTAATGGATTCCATTAAGGGAGGTTTCTAGGAAAATATGCATTGGAGTTAGGAAGGTGGTAAGGAGGTTACTCCACACACCCCACTCCCTTCTACCAATGGCACTGATGATGTTACCTAGTTGGATCGTGAAACGTCTGCAAGAAAACAGCCAAGCTTAGAGAGCACCAAGGACCCCACAGTCCTTTTCCTCCTCTTCTTCCTCTTCCTCCTCCTCCTCTCCTCTCCTCATACCACACTCCCTTCTAGCACTGATGAAGTTATCTAGTTGGGTCATGAAATGTCTGCAAGAAAACTACCCAGCTCAGAGAGCACCAAGGACCCCACAGTCCTCCTCCTGCTCCTCCACAAACCCTTCTGGCACTGATGATGTTCCCTAGTTTGGTCACAAAATGTCTGCAACAAAACAGCCAAGCTGAGAGAGCACCGACCCCACAATCCTTCCTCTTCCTCCTCCTCCTCCTCCTCTACCCCTTCTTAAGGAGAAGGAGATGGATGGATGGATGGGGCAGCTTATAAGCCCTTTTCCCATTCTTTAATTTAGTTTTATTTATTGATTTATTGATTGATTTATTGATTGATTGATTGATTAGCCCTTGGGCCATATCAAAGTGCAGAGTTCCAGAAACAAATTATTACTAAAATTTGATAAAAGCAATTTAAAATGGAATTGGATAAAATACGATTTAAAGTAAAATTGGAATAAAATCCAGTCTAAAAGTCTTCAATCCAAGGAAGTCTCTTCGTGCATCCAGCAGCTGCGGCATGGGCCAAGGAAGTGGCCCAATTCTGCCTGCCTGCTCCTCACTCAGCTCACCTGCTTGAGGTCCTTTCTGAAGAAGCAAGGGTTGGTCCAGCGAGGGTTCAAATCCCATCAGCTCCTCCATGGTAGGGACAGCGTCCTCAAATGCAGGAGGAACTGCAGAAGAAACAGACAAAAATAGATTTACCACAGCACATTATCTTCTTTTAAATATTTAGCAGGAAGAGATCATGGTGGACTTTGGTAGGACAGTCCTATTCTTATGGCCTCCCAAGCCAAACGAAAACTCCAAAATGATCAGCAGATCCTCCAGAAATCCGTTGCCTTGAAGGACAGAGATGGCTCTCTGTGGTGTGAAGGGAGAGAGGAAGGACGAGGAAGAGGATGGAGCAAGAGGAGGAGGAGAAGGACTAGTGTTCAAGGAGCTAGGTGGATTCCTTGTAGATTTCTCACGACCCAACTAGGGAACGTCATCAGTGCTAGAAGGGAGTGGGATTTGAGGAGAGGAGGAGGAGGAGGAGGGGAGGGGGAGGAAGAGAGGGAGAGGGAGAGGAACAGAGGAGGATGACTGTGGGGTCCTTGGTGCTCTCTGAGCTGGGTGGTTTACTTGAAGATGTCTCATGACCCAACTAAGGAACATCATCTGTGCTTCAAGGGAGGGGCGGTTTGTGTAGAGAAGAAGGAGGCAAAGAAGGGGAATGAAGAGGAGGAGGAGGAGACGAAAATAAGGAGATGGATGGATGGAAAAGATGAAGAAGACGGATGGAGAAAGTTAAGGGAACAAGAAGGAGAACGAAGAAAAGGATAAAAAGAAGAAGGAAAGAGGGAGAAGATGAAGGAGAAGATGGATGGAGAAGATGAAGGAGAAGATGGATGGAGAAAGTTAAGGGAAGAAGAAGGAGAAGGAAGAAAAGGATAAAAAGAAGAAGGAAAGAGGGAGAAGATGAAGGAGAAGATAGATGGAGAAAGTTAAGGGAAGAAGGAGGAGAAGGAAGAAAGGGATAAAAAGAAGAAGGAAAGAGGGAGAAGATGAAGGAGAAGACGGATGGAGAAAGTTAAGGGAGAAGGAGGAGGAGGAGAAAAAGAAGGAGAAGATGGATGGAGATGATGGAGAAGATGGATGGAGAAAGTTAAGGGGAGAAGAAGGAGAAGGAGAAAAAGAAGATGGATGGAGATGGATGGAGAAGACAGATGGAGAAGAGGGGAGAAAGTGGAGGAGGAGAAGTTGATGGTGCCCTCATGTCCTCTACTCAGTGGAGCCAATGAGCTGCATGGACCAAGTCACGAGATGCTTCCTGAGCCCAAGGGCACACCATCACCCACGTAGACAAAACCACCTTCACGCACAGGAGACAGAGACACCCAACCCAGAAGATGGACTGGAACGCTGGGGGAAGCCCTTTTCTCTCACCTGAGGAGACCATCACCTGCTCTGCTTCTGGAGGGCTCAGCTCACCAGAACAGGGAGCATCTTCAGCAGGGTGGAGCTTCTCCATGGGGACCTGGTGGACCTCTGTGAAGAAGACAAGAGGTGAGATGTTTCCACCTCAGAAGACCCATGAGGGACCTTGACCAGGTCAGTACTCTGGCCCCCAATTTGGTCTTCCACAAAATCTGGTGGGACATGAGGTTCCTTCCAAACTTCTCCAGAGAAACCAACATCTCAAGGACCATGCCAAGACCTGTGGACCATCGAAGGTCACTAATGGTGATCACATAAACCATGATTAATGCATGCTGGTTAATAAGCCTCCGAATATGGATCACGGGACCCCGGGGAAGTTAAGAGCGAAGACTCATTCTATGTCGCATTTTTCAGGGAGGTCGTAACTTGGAACAGTCACTAAATGAAGCGTTTTGTCAAAGACTGCCTGAACTTTCTGGGCCAGTACCCTGAGAACCTTCTTTTGCTGTCCCTGGTCATAAGTCCCTTTTTTCCGTGCCGTCGTAACTTGGAATGGTCAGTAAGTGAAATTACCTGTATTTTTCCTGCTCTTTTGTTGGGGCAAAAGCGGAAAAAATACAGGTAGTTCACTTAGTGACTGTTCCAACTTACGACGGCACTGGAAAAAGGGACTTACGACTGTTTGTCACACTTAACAACTGTTGTAGCATCCTCGTGGTCAGATCAAAATTCAGATGCTTAGCAACTGATTCCTATTTATAACAGAATCACTGGATCACATGACCTGATCTACTTTTGCAACTGTCTAATAAGCAACGTCCATGGGGAAGCCCGATTCGCTTAATAACCGAACAACCCCAGCGATTCACTTAATAGGTGACCAGAAAGGTCGTACAAATAGGCGAAACTCACTTAACAACTGTATCGCTCAGCAACAGGAATTCACCAGCGAAGTCAAAAAAGGGGGGGGGGAGCCAGATTTGCTTAACAACGGTGGCAAGCGAGATCACAAAACAGGACAAAACGTTAACACTGAACCAAGGTTTCACTTAGCAACGGAAATTTTGGTCGTAAGTCGAGGACCACCGGTGTTTGCTTCCCAACAAAAACGAATCCAGAAGGGCTGAGATTCTTCAGTCGCGGCAGGGAGTCCTCGACTTACGACCAAAATGGAGGCCTACATTTCTATTGCTAAGCGAGACAGTTGTTATGTGAGTTTGGGCCCAGATTACCATCTTTCTTACAATTGTCGTTAAGTGAATCACAGGTAATCCTTGCCTTACAACAGTTCATTTAGCAACCGTTCGATGTTACGATGGCACAGGAAAAAGAGATTTGGAACCGTGTTTCATACTTAATGACAGTCGCAACCCTGTGGTCACGTGACGGTTGGTGAGCAAGGTCAGTGGGGAAGCCAGACTCGCTTAATGACTGCATGACTCACTTACTAACAGCAGCTGGTGCAAGAAAGGTCGTAAAAGTGAGTCAAAACTCACTTCCCAACTGTCTCGATTAGCCGCAGAAATCTGGGGCACAATTGAGGTCGTAAGCCGAGGACTACCTCTACAGCAGTGGTTAAAATTAATAACACGGTCGTTAAGTGTGCCCTGGCTCACTTTGCCATAAGGAGAACAATTCGAATCCTGCAACCCAGCATCCAAATAAACTACAGGCAGTCCTCAACTTACGACTGTTTGTTTACGGATGGTTCGAAGTTACTACGGCACTGAAAAAAGTGACTTAGGAGCAGTTTTCACATTTAACGACCATCACAGCCTCCCTATGGCCACATGATCGAAATTCAGACGCCTGGCAACTGATTCGTATGTATGATGGGGGTTCATATGATTCCCCTATAGCAGGGATGGCTAACCTTTTTGCCATCGCGTGCCAAAAGCAGGGGGAGTGTCTGTGTGTGTGTGTGTGTGTGTGTGTGTGTGTGTTGTGCGCACACGTGCCCACACCCATAATTCTATGTGCCCCGCTCCCTCGCACCTGCACGCACGGCCCCCATACACTCCCCCCACTTTTGACATGTGATGGCACAGTGGGCCCATTTTTCGTCCTCCCCAGGCTCCAGAGCCTTTCTAGGAACCTGGGGAGGGCGAAAACGGCCTTCCCCAGCCCCCCTCCGAGGCCCTCCGGAGGCTGGAAACATCCTGTTTGCTGACTTCAGGCAGGACTGGAAGGCCGTTTTGGCCCTCCCCAGGCTCCTAGAAAGTTTCCCTACTTCCGGTGGGCTCAGAAGGCCTGAAAATAAGCCGAGTTCACATGCCCACAGATATGGCTCCAGGGCCACCTGGGGCACACGTGCCATAGGTTCGCCATCATGTCCCTATAGGTGACCTTCGGACAAGTAGAGTTAATGGGGAAGCCCGCTTCACTTAACGACCCTGCGACTAACTCAACAAATGCGGCGATTCACTTAACAACCCGTGGCAGGAAGAGTCGCCAAAGGAGCCTTTTCCGACCTTCTGACAATCTGGGGATGCCACAGTCATGTCACGATTGCATGATTCACTTAGCAACGGCTGCGATTCACTTAACGACAGGTGCTAAAAAAACCACTGCCTGGCTGAAATTTTGTGGACTGAAAGATTGCGGTCATAAGTCGAGGACTGCTTGTATTCCCATTGTACGTCTTGATTTTTCCCACCTTTCTTTCCAGTCCCGGGTTTACCTTCTTGGCTCTGATTTGGCGCCGGGCTGAGAAACGACAGGAGTTCTAATCCAGCAGCCGTTGGATGAGTGAATCCCAGAGACGGAGGTTCAGAAAATTCAGCTGTTCCAAAAGGATCTGGAAGAGACAAACCTGAGTTTGCAACAAGCCATCTTTTCTTTGCCTGTGAGCACAAACCAAGATTAGAAAAGGAGGGGGAAAAAATTATATAATTTTAAGATTTTAATAGAGGATTTATAGAATCCTCGGAGGGATTCTGGAAGGGACCCTGGAGGTCATCTAGTCCAACCCCCTGCTCCAGCAGACCTTCTGTTAAAAAGGCAAACCTGATGGTGAAAAGCTGACAGACGTCACTCTATCGGTTTTCTGCTTTCAATTTTGCTTCTCCTCGGATTTACGACCACAAGGCCAGGACAGAATTTCCATCGCTAAGCCAGTCTTACAACCGCAACTGCGATCAGAATTTCCGTCCTGCTCCATTTTGACAACCTGTTTTTCCCATGGTTGTTAAGTGAATCACTTAAGTTCTTAAGCGACTCGCAGGGTCGTTAAGCGAATCCAGCTTCCCTTCTTGAGTTTGGTTGTCGGAAGCTGGGAGGGAAGATCTCTAATGATGATCATATAATCCTGGTACGCTACAGCCATGACGGAGGAGGAGGAGGAGGAGAAAGCTTCCCGAGCATGGGGTTGGACTAAATGACCTCCAAGGTACCCTCCAACTTTATGATTTTTGGTTTTGACAATTAGGAGAAAACATGGATCACAGCAAAGAGAGAGATTTTTTTTTTTTGTAATCAGATGGGGAAGAAACAATCACAAGCTGTTCATTTTTCCTTTCTGCACTTTTGCTTCTTTCTTTCTCTTCCTTCTTTCCTCTTTCTCTTTCTTCACCTTTCATCTTCTTTCCCTCCCTCCTCATTGGTTTATTTTTCTCCTTCCTTCCACCTTTTTTCTCCCTCCCGCGCACACTCTCTCCCTTTCTTGTTCCTTTCTCCCCTCTTCCTTCTTTCTTTCCTTTCTTTCTTCCTTCCTTTCTCTTTCTTTCCTGTCTTTCTTTCTTATCCACTCATCCTTTTTCTCCTGCCTTCCTTCCTGCCTTGCTCTCTCCTTTCCCTTCCCTTCATACATCCACCCATGCGCTCATCCATCCTTTTTTACTCCTTCCTCCCTCCCTTTCCTTTCTTCCATCTATCCATTCTTTTTTCTCCTTCCTTCCATCCCCTCTCTCCCTCCTTTCCTTTCCCTTCATCCATCCACTCACCCATCCATTTTTCTTTCTTGCTTCCATACTTCCTTTTTCCTTTCTCTTCCATCCATCCTTCTTCCTCCCTCCCTCCCTTCCTCCCTCTTTCCTTTCCTTTCTTCCATCCATCCTTTTTTCTCCTTCCTCCCTTCCTCTGTCACTCCCACCTTTCCCTTCCCTTCATCCATCCATCCTCCTTTTTTCCTCCTTCTTTCCTCTTTCCTTTTCTTTCTCTTCCATCCATCCATCCATCCTTTTTTCTCCTTCCTTCCTATCACTCCCACCTTTCCCTTCATCCATCCATCCTCCTTTTTCTCCTTCCTTCCTTCCTCTTTCCTTTCTTCCATCCATCAATCCTTTTTTCCTTCTTTTCTCCCTCTTTCCTTCCCTTCCTTCCATCCATCCATCCTTTTCTTACTCCTCCCTCCTTCCCTCCTTTCCTCCTCCCTCCTTCCTCTTTTATTAGTACTTGTTAGCTGTTAATACTCTTTGCCAAACTTTTGATCAGAAAATTCATTTTTAAACAAAAAACAGATGGCAGCACACATGCAAATTAACAAGCCATCATGCAAATTAGAAACAATTAACCAGGAAGCAGAATTAGTTTCCAAAGCAGCCAAGAATAAAAGAGGTTGCCGGGAAGAATATCCCTTCCTGGCAACCGAGGACTGGGGGGGAGGGGGTTAAGTAAACACAGTGGAGCAGGACGGCCTAAAAATCGAGCACGTCAACAAAACGAGGACTGCAAAATGTACTGTGGGATTCTTTCAGAGCGCCAAAATATTGTCCCATCGTGTCTTCGGGAAGGAGACGCAGGTCGGGGAGGACGTCTTCTCGGGGCGTCGGGAAAACCTCTGGGGGAGGGGACAATTGACAGTCATGTGATTTTCCCGCGTTGGAAATCGGGGGCGTGTGGTAAGGTTCAGGTATGGGACACAGGAAATCCTCGAGTTATGACCAGTCGCTTAGGGACCGTTGGATATTCTCTCAGTTCTATCTGAATACAGGAAGTCCTTGACTTACGACTGGTCAGTTAGTGACTGTTGGATGTTCACACGGCTATAAGTACAGATAGTTCTCAACTTACGACCGGTTGAAAGTCGTCAACTTATGACCGGTCAAAAATCGTCAATTTATGACCAGTTAAAAGTCGTCCTCCTGTTCAAAAGAACTGGAGTTACGACCGGTCATAAGTCCTCAATTTACTATGCAACTCTATTTGGGACAGGAGTAAAAATAGTCTTTGACATACATCCTCTTGCTTAGTGGCCATTGGATGTTCTCACGGATCTATCTGACTACAGACAGACCTCGACTTACAACAGGTTGTAAGTCCTCAACATACAATGCAGCTCTATCTGGGACAGGAATACAGGAAGTCCTCGATTTATGACCAGTCGCTTAGTGATCGTTGGAAGTTCCCCTGGCTCTGAGTAAAGATAGTCTTTGACTTACGACACAGCTCTATCTAGGACAGGAGTACAGATAGTCCTAGATTTATGATGATAACAATTGAGCCAGACATTTCTGTCTCTAAGCGAGACATCGATGAAGTGTGTTTTGTCCCATTTGGCGACTTTCTTTCCACAGTCGTCCAGCACAGTCGTTCAGTTAGTCACATGGTTGTTAAGCGAATCTGGCTTCCCCACTGAAGTTGTGGAGGTCACAAAAAAGAGGATCGCGCAACCGACCTCAAGTCACCACAAGCGCCATAAATACAAATCAGTCGCCAAGCATCGAAATTTTGATCCCTATGCTGCGACGGTCGTTAGGTGCGAAAAACAACCGTTCCATTCTGCGCTAAACTTCGGTCACTAAATGAACCGTTGTTAGAGCAAACACAAACCGACGAACAGGCCAGGTTTCAAACTGGAAGCAGAGAAAGTCCTCCAAAAAGGAGTCTCTTTCTCCAACAAACCAAAAATAAAAAAACAGGCTTATGTTCTCAAAACATTATGTATTATGTATTTATTTTTTTTTAGCCTCGTTTCGAACTCGACACCCATCCGACAAATCATCCGGATAGTTCCTGACAGCTATCCTAGGACATCCCTGATGAAACAGAGGCAGTCAGGCGGGAAAACATCCCCGCTTCGACCTTCAAACAGCTTGTCTCTCTTTTTCCCTCCCCCCCCCCCTTAAAAATGGAGACGGTGGCCCTGCGGCTGTACGGATTTTGAGACGCGGCGGAAAAAATTTCCGTTGGCGAGACTAGAAAGGAGACTTTTGATGTTGAGATGACGGGGCGGGAAGTGATCGAGTTAGCGAGATAAGAGGCGGGAGGGAGGGAGCCAAAGAGAGAGAGAGGGAGGGGGAGGGGAGAGAGAAAGAGGGAGTCAGAGAGAGGGGGGAGGGATGCAGAGAGGGAGGGAGGAGGAGAGAGAGAGGGAAGGAGAGAAAGAGGGAGGGAGGCAGAAAGGGAGAGAATGGAAGGGGAGAGGGAGGGGGAGGGGAGAAAGAGGGAGGCAGAGAGGAAGGGGAAGGGAGGGGAAGAGAGAGGGAGGGGAGAGAGGGAGAGAGAGAGGGAAGGGGAGAAAGAGGGAGGGAGGGAGGCAGAAAGGGAGGGAAGAGAGAGGGAGAGAAGGGGGAAGGGGGAGGGGAGAAAGAGGGAGGCAGAGAGGGAGGGGAGAAGGAGGGGGAGGGGAGGGAGGGGGAGAGGGGGGAGGGGGAGAGAGAGTGAGTCAGAGAGGGGGGAGGGATGCAGAGAGGGGGGAGGGGGAGAGAGGGAGGGGGAGGGAGAGAGAGAGGGAAGGGGAGAAAGAGGGAGGGAGGCAGAAAGGGAGGTAAGGGAGGGGGAGAGAATGGGAGGGGAGAGGGAGGGGGAGGGGAGAGGGAGGGGGAGGGGAGAGGGAGGCAGAGGGAGGGGGAGGGAGGGGAAGAGAGAGGGAGGGGAGAGAGAGAGGGAAGGGGAAAAAGAGGGAGGGAGGCAGAAAGGGAGGGAAGGGAGAGAATGGGAGGGAGAGGGAGGGGGAGGGGAGAAAGAGGGAGGCAGAGAGGGAGGGGGAGGGAGGGAGAGGGAGAGAATGGGAGGGGAGAGGGAGGGGGAGAAAGAGGGAGAGAGGGAGGGAGGGAGAGAAAAAGAGGGAGGCAGAGAGAGGGAGAGGGAAAGAAAGAGGGAGGGAGGAAGAGAGAGGGAGGGAAAGGGAAGGGGTAAGAGAGAGAAAGGGAGAGAGAGAGCATCCCCCTCCTCCTCCACTCTGCAGACCACACTCTCCTTCCTAGCACTGATGCTGTTCCCTAGTTGGGTCATGCAAAGTCTGCAGGAAAACCACCAAGCTCAGAGAGCCCCAGGGGCTCCCCCAGCCCTTCTCCTCCACTCCCTTCTAACACTGAGGGTGTTCTATAGTTGGGCCACGAAACGTCTCCTCCTTTTCACTCTCCCCCTCGTCCTCTTCATCACACCCTTCCTTCCTTCCTATCTCCTTCGTTCTTCCCTCCCTGTTCCTTTTTCTCCTTCCTCCCTTCCTCCCTCTCTCCCTTCCCAAAACTGATGATGTTCCCTAGTTGGGCCACGAGACGTCTGCAAGGAAACCACCAAGCTCAGAGACCACCAAGGACCCCTTTATCCTCCTGCTCCCTTCTATCACTGATGACATTCCATAGTTGGGTCACGAAACGTCTGCAAGGAAAGCCCCCCCCCAGCCCAGAGAGCAAATTTTAAAGCACCCTGGCTGGGGAATTCTGGGAGTTGAAGTCCACCCCTCTTAACGTTTTCTGGGTTGAAAAATGTTGATATAAAACTAGGTCATTTATTTTTATTTTTTCTAAATCATTCAGGGTATTTACTGAGCCAACCGGAAAGTCCAATGTTTTTTTTCTCTTTTAAAAAGCCTGATTGGTCAACAGCCAAAATAAACTTTTTAATAATCGCTTTAGTGCCACAGCCAGTATTTTCCTTTGACCCCGAATTGCATCAGAAACTGGAACAAATTCAGCTTTTTATTCCTAAACCAGTTTAGGAATTTCTCTTTGCATCTCCAGTTGAGAAATTCCTAAACTATAAATTTCCTCCCCGCAGCCTGGAAAAGAAGTGAGATAGCCTTCCTTTCCTTTCCCCATATCCTGTAATAAACAATTAAAAGGATAAATCGATTTAATGGAGGACATCTGTATATCTCCTTCCGATAATTTCTCCCTTCCCGTTTTCTATCCAGGAAGCTATTTTGAGACAAGGGCTCTGCAAAAAAATCAATTTTTAGTAGCATCTGTTTAATGCACCGGCTGCATCACTAAGATAGAATGATTTAAAAATAGGTTTTTAATGCTTCCAATGCTAGGAAGATCTAGAAAGAAAAAAGAAAAAAAAACAACCAGGTTTTTAGGCTGAACAATAGGAATTCACAGGAGGTCCTCGATTTATGACCAAAAATGAGACCCAAATGTATGTTGCTAAGCGAGAGGGTGGTTAATTTTGCAGCAATTGAAACCTTCCTGGCTGCCATCATTAAATGATGGCAGTCAGGTTGTTTAGTTTGGAACACGATTCACTTAATGACCATCCGATTCGCTTAACAACCACATGATTCACCTAACGACACCATTTGCAACATTGCCAGCCGGCTTATGAAAAGCAAAGTCAAGGGAGGCAGTTGTATTCGTTTAACGACCGCATGATTTGCTTAACGACCGTAGGATTCAGCTAACAATGTCGTTTGCAATGCTGCCTGTCAGCTTCTGATACACAATCTCAATGGATGCAACCGGATTTGCTTAACGACCACATGATTCACTTAACGACCACATGATTCACCAAATGACACCATTTCCAACATTCCCACGTTGTTCCAACGTTTAATTTCGTTGACAATAAACTAAACTAAACTAAACTAAACTAAACTAAACTAAACTAAACACAGCTGGCTTTTGATCTGCAAAGTCAATGGAGGCTGTTGGATTCACTTAATGACCACATGATTTACCTAACGACTGCATGATTCATTTAACGACCGCAGTGAGTCTCAGGGAATTGATCTCTCGCTTTTTTCAACGCCGCTCTCTCTTACCTGTCACGTCCATCGGCTGAAATCTGAGCTGTGACTCAAAGCCATGGCTGCCGTCATCCATCGGCCACGAGTCGTTGTGATCAAGGAATTCTTTGTACGACATTTGTTCCTCCATGATTTTTCCGGAAGGTTCTAGAAAATAGAAAAGAAAAAAAAATAGTGGTTCTGTTATTGATACTCAATATGTTCTTCAAAACGCCTTGAGTACGGGCAGTCCTCGACTTACGACCAGAAGGGAGCCCCAAATTCCTTTAGTTAAGTGAGACAATCTCTTAAGGGAGATCTGCCCCATTTTACGACCTTTCCTGCCACCGTTGTTAAGTGAATCACTGCAGTTGTTAAATTAGTCCCACGGTTCTTAAGTGAATCTCGCTTCTCCCCACTGACTTCCCTTGTTGAAAGGTTGCAAAAGGGGATCACGTGATCCCGGGACGCTGCGACCGTCATAAATATGAATCAGCCCCCAAATGTCTGAATTTTGATCATATGACTACACGGGGGCTGCAAAGGTCGTAAGTGTGAAAAACGGTCATAGGTCCATTTTTTCAGTGGCATTGTAACGTTGAATGGTCACTAAATGAACCATCGTAAGTTGAGGACTACCTCTAAACCCAAAAGAAAAAACACAAATAATGTATAGATAGTCCTCGGGTTACAACAGTTCCTTTAGTGACCGTTCGAAAGCACAACAGTACTGAAAAAAAAAACACCAGATTTTAGGACCACTTTTCACACTTACGACCATCATAGTCCCGTGATCAAAATTCAGGATCTTACCGAAGGACTCATATTTATGACGGTTGCAGTGCCCTGGGATTGTACGATCCCCTTTTGCAGCCATCTGATGAGCAAGGGGGAACCCGGATTCGCTTAACAACCTTGTGACGAACTTCCCAATTGCAGTGCTTCGCTTAACGACGGTCAGAAGAAATGGGACAAAACTCATTTGACAAATGTTTCTCGTAGCTACAGAAATTGGGTGGGCTCAATGGCTGTCACATTAAGTCAAGGACTACCTGTATAACATAGGATGCAAAGATTGCAATGGTCACTATGTGAGACAAACAGGCAGAAGAATCTGAGAACGAATCCATGAACACCAAGTAACAGATAGAAGACATGATGAAAAACTCTTTGATTTCATGACCTGAAGACAGACTTAACCATAATTTCAACTGACCATTTTAGAACGAGCCAAGTTCAAAAATGCTGGGGAATGCCTCAGATAATCGGCCATCAAGAGACACTGTGATAAATATCATTTACACACCATTGAAAAGAGAGACAATCAACCAGTTGAAGATCCAAACACCTCCTTGCCTGCAATTAAAACCCGGATAAACTGGGATTGATACCAGACAAACTATCAAGAAGCAAAAAAGCTAACAATAAATCGCAACCGAACAAGAACCATCAGGAATAGGAGAGGATAGCAGAGCTGGAAGGGACCTCGGAGGTCATCTAGTCCAACCCCCCTGCTCAAGCAGGAGATGCTTAGAGTTACGGAATAACAGAGTTTGAAGGGACCTCGGAGGTAATCTAGTCCAACTTCCTCCTCAAGCAGGACGCCTTATACTATTCCTGGACAAATGGCTGTCCAGTCTCTTCTTGAAGACCTCCAATGATGGAGCACCTATAACTTGTGGAGGGAAGTCGTTCCACCCATTAATTCTTTCCAGTCAGGAAATTTCTCCTTAGTTCTAGCTTGGATCTCCTCCTTGACAAATTTCCGTCACAAACCAAATCACAATGTCAACCTGACAACACAACTTTAATCCAATTCTTTCTAAGCAAGAATTTATCTCAAGAACTTCTCCACTCAATGTATTTTTTTTCACCCCATTTTACATTTTTTCTGGGTCCTCCTTTCCCCTCTTCTCATTTTTTGGCCTGTTCCTCCACAACCTTCAACTTCTGCATTCCCTTGGTACATTTATTTTTTTTCCTGCAGCAAGTTCTCTAGAAGTTCGTGAGGTCATCCAAGTTGGAAGAAAAGGCAATTGAGGACATCAGAAGAACCTCGAGTTTCTATTTTCTTCTAAAAACATCCGTCTTCCTGACGGGTCAAAGGAGAGGACAGCACTGAGGAACAGAGAAGAAAGAGCTAATGGAGTTTCTTCTGCAGATTCCATTAAGTTACAACCAGCTATCTGGTAGAGTGCTCCAAAATGGACATCAGAGAACAGAGTAGAAGATGAAGTCCAGGGAGAAAGGAGGTGGGCCGACCAACCATGTGGTCACGCAATTCGAGAACTGATTTGAAAAGTGAAGATCCCACCATTGTGAGGTCCTGAGTAGTCTCTGAGCTGGATGGTTTTCTGCAGACGTCTCATGACCCAATTAGGGAACGACATCAGTGCTAGAAGGTGGAGCCATACTCCCGACTAGCATTGATGATGTTACCTAGTTGGGTCATGAGACGTCTGCAAGAAAACAACCAAACTCAGAGAGCACCCAGGACCCCTCAATCCTCCTCCTCCTCCTTTCCACAAACCCCACTCTCTTCTAGCACTGATGAAGTTACATAGTTCGGTCACGAAATGTCCACCCAAGAAAACCACCCATCTCAGAGAGCACCCAGGACCCTTCGTTGAACCCACACACCTTAAAGTGGCCAAGATTGAGTAACTCTGTTCCAGATCATAGTTATTCCCATGTTTCCAGCTCTCGCAACCCCTCCCAACCCCATTCCTAATCCAAAGTCAAACGAACAATATTGAAAAATCTAAACCCTTTCCTTTTGGTATCGCAAAACGGAGAATGACACAATCCCACCATGAATACATCCGTGCAAATCTAAGTTCGCAAGAGTCCTACCTTGGTGTTCCCGAACGACAACTTTAGTCAAGTTTGATTCTCAAAGGGACACCGTCTTGTGTCGTGTTCCGGTTGCGGGTTCTTTAATGGAGCTTTACCATTAAAGCAGAATATTTCTTTGCTGGATTTGCAAATTAAAAGGGCAGTCTAAATCCGGTGACAGGAGTTTGGGGGGTACCAGAATGCACCCCGTGGAAAGCCGCACATCAAAACCAAGCAAAAACACACACTAAAGGGATTCACTCCGCCTTTTAAAGCAGGAACAAAAAGAATTGTGTTTGTGTTACCGGTGGATTTTCCCTGCCTCTGTTTTTAAAAATGCAAAAACACAATACTGTCCAAAAATATTTGCATTATATACACAGTATCATTCAAATAATTATGCACAGTATTGTGTTTTGCATAGTGGATTCTTTTAAAAACCAGGATAGGAAAAATGAACCAGTAGCTGAAACACAGTTCTCATTCTCATCCTCATTTTCTCTCTCTCTCTTTCTCTCCCCACCTCCCTCCCTCTCTTTTATATATGTTTTATTTGTAATTTTCACTAATATTTTAATATTTTTAAATTACTCAATATACCACTATAATTCCAATATCTCGATGTCCTAGAAACACCAATAAGGCCAATTATTAATAAGATTTAATCAGTCCTGTGATTATATCTCTAAATCCCCTGAATTTATGGTCCTTGAAAGCTTTAAGTTTCAATATATTTTTTACACAATAATAATCATACAATCACAACTATCTGTCTAACTAGCTTTCTGTATCTATCTATCTGTCAAAACTATCTCTCTCGAACTTCGAATGGACATTCAAAGAATAGTTGTAAATCAAGGACTGCCTATCATAAGACGGATGCAAAGTTTTCCAATAGAATTATATCGCAGTATGATTTGCAAAATTTGCAAGGAGGAACTTTGGGAGGATTGTGGGGTCCTTGGTGTTCTCTGGGCTTGGTGGCTTTCTTGCAGACGTCTTACGACCCAGCTAGGGAACATCATCAGTGCTGTAAGGGCAGGAGGGTTGTGGAGAGGGGAGAGAAGAGGGAGAGGAGGAGGAGAAGCAGGAAGGACTGTGGAATCCTTGGGGTTCTCTGAGCTGGAGGGGGGGGTTCTTACAGACATCTCATGACTCAACTACGTAACAGCATCAGTCCTAGAAGGAGTGTGGGGTTTGCTCTCTGTTTATATACAGTCCCTTCCAGCACTGATGATGTTCCCTAGTCGGGTCATGAAACGTCTGCAAGAAAACCCACCCGGCTCAAGAGATCCCAACAAACCCCCCTCCCCAATTCAACCCCCAGCTACCACCATCATATTCTCTCCTACTGCAGTAAGATAAAACACCTTCCCTGGGTTATATCCCGCGCAAACCCCCCCATGACGTGGCAGCCTGTCAGATTTTATTTTGGACCCCCGCTGGACCCCGGCTTCTTCCGCCTCTTCCCAGGGTCCTGCAGGGCAGGAGATCCCCCCTCGGCGATCACAGCCGGATCCTTCTGGAAATAGCTTTTCCATCTGCCGCTTCCGAACAGGCCCATTAAAAAAAGTTGCAGGGAGATTTATCTCCACCGAGACGAAACTGGGTCAAGAACGGGGGCGAGGCGAGGTGTCACGCGAATTATCCAGCCATCAGTCGGGGTTTAATTTTAGCTCCAAAGAACCCCAGGGGTGGGCTGATTTTTTATTTTTTATAAAAGCAGAAGAAAGTTGGCTGGTCAAGCTGCAGCATCTGAACGGCAAAAGGGAAACAAACAAAAAAGTTTTCTTGGGATCGTCTTGGGTGGATTCAAAGCCCTAGAGGGGTCCTGCCAAAATCAGGCTGGTCTAGGAATGGCCTCTCGTTGCTCCAGAGGGGTCCCATAAAAATCAGGCTAGTCTAGGGATGGCCTCTCATAGCTCCAAAGTCCTAGAGGAGTCCTGGCAAAACCAGGCCAAGTCTAGGGAAGGCCTCTCATCCAGCTTCCTCAAGAGTTTTCCACAAAAACCAGGTCTGTCTAGAATGCCTCTCGTTGCTCCAGAGGGGTCCCACAAAAATTAGGCTAAGGGATGGCCTCTCATGGCTCCAAAGTCCTAGAGGGGTCCTGCCAAAGTCAGGCTGGTCTAGGGATGGCCTCTCGTTGCTCCACAGGGGTCCAACAAAAAGCAGGCCAATCTAGGAATGGCCTCTCGCTGCTCCAAAGGGGGGTCCCACATAAACCAGGCCGGTCTAGGGATGGCCTCTCATGACTCCAAAGTCCTAGAGGGATCCCGCAAAAATCAGGCCGGTCTAGGAATAGCCTCTCGCTGCTTGTTTTATAGGAGGGGGAG